AATTACGACTTATTATGTCGAAATTTCGACATACGTATGTCGTAATTACGACTTATTATGTCGAAATTTCGACATAATATGTTGAAATTACGACATACGTATGTCGTAATTACAACTTATTATGTCGAAATTTCGACATATTATGTCGTAATTTCGAAATACGTTTGTCGTTATTACGACTTATTACACGGATTGTCGTATTTGATTGGTAAAACACGTGGGGCGGACCGTGTGATTGAGGGGCCTACACGTCTACTAAATGAAAGCATGCCACCGATTCGTTGCCAGGGTTTAATCCGGCGTTATTTTCACCTTGGATTGACTTATAATGAAATTATTTCAATTCTGCTGTCAAAGCATAATGTATTTATAAGCAAAAGGACTCTAAAGCGACGACTTCTAATAATGGGCCTGTTCAGGCGAAAAAAACACTCAGACCTGTTGGATATAGCTTGTTTGTATTGAGAATGAGCTTCAAACGTCAGGTCAACTACATGGATATCGGTGGATGCATCTGAGATGTAAGCAGAACGGAATCAATGTTGATAAAGAGACGGTCAGGATTATATTAAAACATTTAGATCCAGATAGAGTTGAGCTAAGGCGAACCAAACGACTACAAAGACGTATATATCATGTCCCCGGTCCAAACTACATATGGCATGTCGATTCGTACGACAAGCTTAAACCTTCGGAATTTGTATAAATGGCTGTATCGACGGTTTTTCTAGAAATGTTATCTGGTTGGATGCATATACAACCAGTAGTGATCCAAAAGTTATCGCCGGCTATTATATACATACAGTCCAGAAGATAATGGGATGTCCAGTGTTTATTCGGACAGATCTTGGAACGGAAAACACTGTCGTGGGCCAGTTACAACAGTTTCTTTCAAATAATGATAGGCGATTTATGCAGGGCACGAGCCAACATAACCCACGAATTGAGTGCTGGTGGAGCATGTTAAGAAAGCACTGTTCTCAATTCTGGATGAGTTTGTTTCAAAAACTGAAGCACGATGGGAAATTTAGTGGTGATCATCTGGACAGATCTTTAATCCAGTTTTGTTTTATGAAGCTTATTCAGGTAAGTGGGTCATTGTCACCGACACCTTGAAGTGACACAAACTTCTTTAGCTATGTTCTGACGACCACTACTACTTCCCCCTCTACTTCTGCGGCATTGGACATAGTGAGAACTTGACCACTGTCACTGTACACACGCTAGCAGGCCCTAATACATTCAGTGATTAAACTGATCATTACACAATTAATGTAGCATGCAGTGGCAGCGCTACGGGGTCGGGCTGCAGCCTCTTCCTGTCGGGGAGAAGAACTACAATTCGTCGGGGAGGAAAAAAAATTATTAGTAGTTTCTACATATTAGTAGACTCTAAAATCGATAAAATAAACCTTTGAAACCCCTAAATTGTCATATTTTGGGGCGCCCCCTTGATTATATTCGAAAGATTTTGAGCGACGTCCAACCAGGCCCACTTTTGCTCTCGTCGGGACATCAGCTCCCCCTGTCGGGGACCTTGGCCTCAACCCGTCGTGCAAATCCTGGGAGCACCCCTGAAATGTGATGTATAGGCCACACTTAGTCCTATAATTAGGATTTGATTAATAGTAAACTTCTTTTATTTTTATTTAGGATGATATGAATACTGTCGCTAAAGAGTGGAATGCCCATCGCATAACCCCTTCAAGGAATCGCCACGGACCGTTTGGACGCCCGGTAATGATGTATAATGTGCCACAAATGTTCGAGGGACAGGATTTCCTTGTACCTGTGGACGATGATGAAGTAGAGCTATGCAACAGCGAATGTACTTTCAAAAGTCAATTCCCGTGCGACGAAGACGTATTTGAACTGTGTTTAATCTTTACTATACTTACAATGTCACAGGGACAATCCCTGTACAATTTGGGCTTGTTCAGACCACTTTTAAAATCTATATTATACGTTATTACATTAGTGTTAATTGTTGTTACAACAGTGGTTAATGAATATTGTTACAACAGTGGTTAATGAATATTGTTACAGCATTGGTTGATTGCTACATAAGTGAGTAATACAGAGATTACTATGCTTTAACATAATACAAAGTTAAATAAAAAATGTTCTAGGACTACTCATGGCAGGGACGTATCCCTAAATCCATAAATATCAGGCCAGGTCTTTTAAGATAGAAATGCGATACTGTGGTTCAATTTCGTTTTTATCCTTTTGCAAGTTTCTTTAAATGTTTGTTTAATAATACTACTACTAATAGTAATAATTGTCTCTTATACACATCTAGATGTGTATAAGAGACAGCCTCAGTCCCACCATGGTTGGAAAAAGTGAAGAAAATTGTTCTAAATGCGAAAAAAAGTTGTGATTTGTTGATCATACTATAGTATATACAGCTAAAGCTTAGTAAGCTATAATTAGGCCTAAGTTGTCCTGGATATTAAGTAGATTCTAGATAAAAGATCATGAGAAATTTTTTGGTGATGATGAATTTTACTATATAAAAGTGTCATTTCTAGCCATCTAGAGGTACTATTTCCTCAAATTTTCTCACCTCAGTTCCAACCATTGTGGGGCTGAGGTGGGTGTCGACTCACAAAATGCCCTCCCCCTCCACCTTTCAAAACAGATCTGTGCCCTTCCCTGGATNTCTAGATGTGTATAAGAGACAGACTCATGGCCAGTCAATAATCTCCCTTCTCTTTAATAGGATGACCAATATGACTTATACAATATGGATTCATAACTTCATCGTTAATAAATAGTGAAATCATGGTGAAGTATTTAAACTTTACTGAAAAGGCTTCAGCTTCTGTGACCACCTATAAATACACCTAGACTATGGAAAACTCCCCTTTCTACAATTCTAATGGCTACAGGCCTGCTTAAACAAAAGAGACTTAAAATACGTCAGCGTTTAAAACAGCTAATTCTCGCAAAAAGAAAAAAGTTTTTTAATAAATAAGGGCTTAAAAATAGCAGCGGGTCAATGACTGTATTGTAAAGCAGATGCAATAATTGTAAGATCTGGATGTCTGACAGAGGTTGACATTATGGGTTTTACATACGTACGTATGTCGTAATTTCGACATAATTATGTCGAAATTTCGACATAAGTCGTAATTACGACATAAAAATATATATTTCAGTGGCCCTAATAGGCTTTCGTATCAAAGTAAACAGGTTAGGCTGTTGATAACATTTTGCTGTTAACCCTAAAGCATTGTTGTTAAGTGAATAGGTGAGGTATAAATTTAGGGGACTACAGACCAGCTCCCCCCCCCCCTCATAAAGTTCCCATAATGCTACCAATGTATTTTACTTTACTTTCTTTCCCTATTCAGGGAAGTTATTCAAATACATGGGCCGTTGGCCCTAATACTAAACATAATTTATTGTAAAAGATTACATTTGTTTCTTTTTTCAAACGCAAAGTAGACGTATTTTGCTAAATTATTAATATATGCTTTATTTGAAAATAATAGACAGAGCTTGTGAATAGATGAATATAATTAAATACATTTTGGAATATATTTGCTCCTTAAATCAGCATAATATGGGCATTGTAAAATAAAGTGAAATTCATCTTTAATAATATTGTTATTACATATCTTGCAGATTCTTTTGTCTCTATCAATATTTTCCCACCTCCCCTTTTTAATCTCAAGTTCCAGTATGCCTAATCTTAACTTTGTCAATAACCGTCTGTGTTTTAAATTACTAACGTTCGTATAATGATAGCTTAAGCTTATTTCTTTTTTATACAGAGGGAATAACCTTAGTCTAGAATATAAACTAAATTTCTCAATACACTTTTGTTTTTTAATATCACGAAGACGCAACTTAAATTCATCCAGAAAAGAGGTTTTGTCGTATACAAACTATTGAAACCAAATGTAACCAAATCCATTAGAACAAATTAAAGATCTTGGAACATGGTACAAACTGTAGAGGGTGCTCTCGACTCGTTTTCAGTCGCGAATCTTCGTTAGTTACCGGTAGCCGCTTTGTGAAAACGTCAGAAGAGGAACGAATCACAATCGTTGTTTGTACATGGTAGAGCGAAGTTTTTGTATGGAAAGAGAACAATAAAATGCCGAAACGATGTGTTGTTATGGGATGCAGCAATGTAATCAAAGACAGCATAAGCTTGCACGTATTTCCCAAAGACCCAGTTGCTTTTAGAAAGTGGGAAAAATTTGTACAGCTAAAGAGAAGTCACTGGAAAGGTAGCCCGTACTCATGTATATGTTCCGACCATTTTACGACTGAACAATTTATAGAGAATCCGGTGAAAATCAGGCTTGGATTTGGAAATAGGTAGGCCTCCTATGACTATGTCTATCAGAATCAATTTGCTATTGCTTGTATATAATTTTATTCTTCATAAGTTAAGTTAAAAACTGACACAAGAGCGATACTAGCCTATCCTGTATCGCTCATCGACCTTACCTGCTGCCTGTCAGATCAGCCGGGCTAGGCCTAGGCCTAGCCCAGACTATCGGTTCGCATCTACTACTACGAGGCTAGGCCTAGTCTAGTTATTAATATTAGTAGAAGTACTAACTAGGCCTAGGTTTGGCCTACTACTAGGCCTAGTACTACTAGACCTATAATACACTATTAAGATTATTTTTAAAATTATAGCCTAGACTAGGCCTACAGTGAATTACAGAGTTAAGCCAGCTATGAGAAGTAAATGTTCTTCTGCTGGGCCTACTACTGTACGTGTCATCAAAGGTCCCAGGAGAAGATGGGAGGGGGAAGATAGGAGGGGAATAATCTGGCACACCCCCCCCCCCTCTTTTTTGGAAAGTGGAAAAAAAATTAAAAAGTAAAATCATAATTTGCCCAAAAGTACATATTTACTTCACATCGATGCATTTCTACTGTTTTCAGTAAAAGGAAATTACATCCAGAAGCCGTTCCAACAATTAACCATACAGGGAAAAGAGAGCTACCTGTAGGTGCCAGCATTTCAGAGACTCCAAGATCTGCCTACAAAAAACGTGAAATTAGAAGGGTGAGTCACAGTATGCCTCTGTGCTATCCGGCGCATTAGTAGTTATAATGTGACATAAGTAAGTTGGAATCGCAGATTAAGTTTTATTAATACGTGTGTTAAAAATATTGTAAGATTTCAGTAAAGATTTTTTTTTAATTTTTTTTTTTATATAAGAAATTACATGGGGAAAATAGGTGCATTGTATTACTAGCTGTAGTTCTTTAATGTATCATTCCCTAGATTCTGCAAGAAAACATAAACTATGGGAATGTAGATCACATTCAAGAGCCACCTGATGTACAACTGGAAGTAGAGGAAGTTAATTTAAAGGAATCACCACAAATTTAGAGCAGATCGTGTGGCACTGAAAAAGAAAAGGTTTTTCATAAATGTACTACTGTGAAGCCAGCAACCAAAACAGTTAGAATACAAACAACTTATAAGGGACAGAGTAAAGGTAGGCCATACTTATTTGAAATCTCTTGTCTTAAAAAATAATTAAACAATCATACTTATACTGTTTTGATGATTTTCCCCAAATAAATGA